TCCCCTGACTGCCCCAATCCCTCTCCACACCCCTGCCCCCTGACAGGCCACCCCCAGAACCCCCACCCCATCCAACCCTCCTGCTCCCTGTTTCTTGACTCACCCCCAGCGCGGGGGAGGGAGTAGGGCTGGCCAATCAGGGCCAGCTGCCATGGGCAGGGGGGTGGCTTTCTGGGCCACTCTAGTTTCAAACCAGAGCTGCAGCCTTGTATCGGCACAAACAGCTCCTGCTCCCGTTTTGCTACTGGCGTGCTGAAGCTGCGGGGGAAGCAGGGGAGGGGCTTTTGCTGCCGGAGCGGCCCCAAGTGAGCGGCTCAATCCGGCGCGGCTGCCCTGTCAGCCGCTTTGGGGTCTTTAGATAGCCGTCCGGGGGGAAATCCCGGACATTTTTAGCTTTTTACAAATTCCCCCCGGACGGCTATTTAAAGACCCAAAAGCCGGACATGTCCGGGGAAACCCGGACGGATGGTAACCCTACCTTCCCCTTCCTTTTGGTACTGGGAGCCAGCCATCAAACCCCCCCAGTGTCAGTGAGGGGCCAGCAGTGCCCTTCCTTCCACTCACCCATGGGCTTTTGTTACCTGCCAGTGGGGGATTTAGAATTAGTGGGACCCGGTGCTCAGCTTCATTCTCTCTTCTCTCTCTCACCCCCCATTTTTCATTCATTTTTTCTCCATCCTCCTCCTGGGGCTCAGAGCTGGGGGTGCAGGAGCGGTCTGGGGTGTGGCCAGGAGTTTGGGTGATAGAGGGGGCCCAGAGCTGGGGGTTGGGGTGCAGGGTCTGGGTGGGAGTTATGGTGCAGGAGCAGGCTGGGAGTGGGGGTCTGGCCAGGTGTTAGGGTGCAGGACAGGACTCAGGGTTGGGGCAGAGGTGCAGAGCGCTTACCTGGGACAGCTCCCATTTGGTGTGGGGGGATGCTGATGGCTCTGCATGGCCCTGCGCTCACCTGCAGGCACCGTCCCCTGCAGCTCCCCTTGGCCGCGATTCTCAGAGCCGCCTTTTGGGGGGTGGCGACCGTGGCGGCCGGATCTTTGGCAGCCCCAGTCGTCGGCGGTATTTCGGGGGCGGGACCTTCCTCCGCCTAGGGTGGCAAAAAAGCTGGTGGCGCTCCTGGCCCTACCTAATAAACACTAGAAAGACTTTGGGCTGAGGTTTGCTCTATGAGACTTGAAAGGTCCTTTTTAAATGTCTAGTGTCTTGAATGCAAGTTATTATTTTATTGTATATGTAACAATCTGTTTCCAATACTTCTGTTTGCTATCACTTAAATCTCTTCTCTTTGTTAAATAAACTTATCCTTGCTCTCACTACAAACATATCTGAGTGCTGGTGCTAAGCAGAGCGGTGAGTTGTAACTGGTACTGAGGGATGTCCTCTTCCATTGGGAATAGCAGATCTGTGAGTGCTGTAAGTGTGTGGGGGACAGGGGCTAGGCACTCCAGGGAGACACTCAGCAGACTCGGGGGACAGAGTGTGCCTATCGCTAACCTATAGAGAGAAAGCGGGGCTGGCAAGGCCTAGAGGGGAGTGATTGTGTGTCCCATGGCCAGTGGAGGTGGGGAGCTGATCCCTGGAAAGCACAGATAAGTCTCCTCATGCAAAAGGCAGGTTATAGTGAGGTTCCACACAACCCTGGGTACCACTGGGAAGCATCACACCACAGGTAGCCAGTCCCCCACCTAGGGATGGATCCGAGCCGCCACCCCCAAGAGGAGAACAGCCCCATATCCCACTCCCCACTGCCTGAGCCAGCCAGTCCCCCACTCTGGGGCTGGATGGGAGCTGTCACCCCCTAGGAGGGAAAGGCCCCATGCTCCATTCCCCACCCCCTGAATCTGGAGTCAAAACCAAGCCCGAACCCTAGATCTGAAACTCTCCATATCCCATTCCTCTTGATGCTTGATTTGGCCAGTTCCTACTAGCCCTTGACCTGAGGCCACATTTAATCTCATGTCATTGCTTGGTTCTCCTGAGCCAGCCAGTCCCTCTGACCTACAGGCAGAGCAGTACCTCATCTTTTTTATTATGTCACATCACTTTTCTTGTAACCTTGGTCTCTCCTTGGCTCCCTCAGAACAGACCTCACTGCCATGGCTGAGAAAATACCCAGAGAGTTTGCTGAGCAACATGAAGGTCTGAGAGCTACTATGAGTGGGGATAACTCTGCGGAAGAATTCACCTGCATAACTCCAGAGGACTTATCGGAGATCAAGAATGCATTAGAGGGAGGCAGAATGGCAGACGCAGTGTCCAAGATCAAAGAAAATCTTAATGCCCTAGACAACATCAAGCTCAACATCGCCATCACAGGAGAGTCAGGCTCTGGGAAATCGACCTTTATCAATGTCATCAGGAATCTGGGAGATGAAGATACTGGTGCTGCTATAACTGGAGTGGTAGAGACAACCTGTGAGCCGCAGCCTTATCCACACCCAAAATTTCCCAATGTAACCTTCTGGGACCTGCCTGGGATTGGGACACCCAATTTTAAATCAGAGAATTACCTTGAGGATGTTAAATTCAGCCGCTATGACTTCTTCATAATCCTTGGCTGCGGGCGCTTTCGAGATGTCCATGCCCAGCTGGCCCGCGCCATCCAGGAAAGGGGCAAGAAGTTTTATTTTGCACGCTCCAAAGTGGACACAGATCTGGAGGCTTCCAAGAAGCGCCGGCCCAAAGCTTACGATGAGCAGCGCATCTTGCGGGAGATCAGAGAGGACTGCGTGAAGTGTCTGCAGGCAGAGGGCGTCAGCTTCCCCAAGATTTTCCTCCTGTGTATCTTTGACCTGGACAAGTATGATTTTCAGCAGCTGCAAGAAACCCTGGAACATGAGCTCCCCAGTCACAAGAGTCACACTCTGCTCCTGGCCATGCCCAACATTTCTCTAAATATCCTGCTGAAGAAGAAAGCCGCCTTCCAAGGGCAGATATGGAAACTAGCTGCTCTGTCAGCTGGTGTTGCTGCGGTCCCTATCCCAGGCCTCTCTGTGGCCTGTGATGTGACAATTTTGGTGAAGGCCTTGCGAGATTATTGCAAGAGCTTCGGCCTGGATGATGAATCCCTCACTAAGCTTGCCCAGAAGTTTGACAAACCCGTGGAGGAGCTGAAGGCTGTTATAAAGTCCCCACTGGCCAAGGAAATCTCAGCTAATTTGGTATACAAACTGCTGACCAATGCTGTAGGTGGTGCCCTGATGTGTGTGGAGTATTTAGTGAGCAACATACCAGTGATTGGCTCCCTTGCAGCCGGAGGGATCTCTTACGGGACCACGTACTACATGCTGAACAGCTTTTTGAATGAAGTGGCGGAAGATGCTCAAAGAGTTCTGCTAAAGGCTTTAAAGGAGACAGAAATTTAGTAGGCCAGAGAATGGCAAACAGACGATCAAATCAGCATAACCAGAGTAGAGATGGAAAGGATCCAGGTGCATCTAGAGATCAGAGCAGAACTATCTCAAACTTTTTCACAGCCCACACAAGTGGTTGCATTGTCTTTCCTGATTTTGACGGGTCATGTCCCCAATTTCCCATGATAGGATGATCATTTAAACAACATTAACTTTAGAGCAGGCAGAATTTCTTTCCTGTCACAAAATTGTTATAGATTAAACTGATTTGTTTTTCTTTTTAATGTGAATTTTTTTCAAGTTTTCAACAAAAGAAATTGAACTGACATTAATATTTTCATTTTGTTTCAAATTGAATTTTACCTTTACTTTCAGTTTTCCACAACATTCTGTTCCCTTGCCCCATTTTTCTCTCTCTTTTTTATGTTCCTTCCCTACTTAAGTTGGGAAGAGTTGGAGAAAAGGGAGGGGAAAACTGGAAAACTAAAAATTGAAAACTGATTTTCCTTGCTTTTGAAAACCAAAAAAACTGAATCTTTGATTTGAAACATAATGAATGAAAATATTTTGTTTTGTTTCAAAAATTTTCATTGAAAAATATCAAGTGAAAATCTTTCTCTCATTGCTCAATCAAGTCTGTTTAACTTCCCATCCTCTCTGACTATGAGACAGCCTTCCAAATGTGAGCTGGTGCAGAGATGCCTGCCTTGAATCTGCAGACTATCTGGAACAGGAGCTGTGGGAGTTTTTAACTGTTCCACTCATATCAATAGCTAAGGATGACAGTTTAAATAGTTTTCCCTTCACCCTCTTCCCTGGTTCCTGTCACACTAACAGAAAGCAAAAGACCAGAAATCTGAAGTGCAAGGCAATGTGATGTTTATTGGGGTTAGTTTCCAGCAAGCATGTGTCCCATAACTCTAATGCTGCAGATCCTTGTGTCCCTTTCCCCCCTCTTCAGGAGGCATCATTGTACCTGAAATGCATGCTCTCGGTCCCACCCCTTACAAATTATGGTCCTGTTCCGTTTTGCGGGGTCATGGGTCTGGGGTCTTTGTCGCACCTCTTTTGTAAGGGGTACAGTCATGGGCAGGCATTTATCTGGCCTTTTAGTGTTTTACCTTCCCCCTGATCCCCCTTGCCCCTCCCGACTGGTTGCTTGACCTTACCTTGAGATAGTTGAGACAGTCTTCGAATGCGCCCATATATTACACTCCCACCGTGCCCAGTAACACTTTAACTGTTCTTATCTGTTCCCATTATACTAACAAACCCATCTGACTAGGCAAAAGCAACACACACATTACCTTTGTCCTTTGTTCACACATATTAGTAAGAATGTATGTGTACCAAAAAATCAAACAAGGAAGCCAAACTCAGAATGTTATCTCAAGCGAAAATACAGGCCTGAATCCTACATGGGCACTAGCACTCCTAACAGCTAGATACTGTGGAGATCTCTTCTTTGTACATACTTAAGATACACTGATTAAGCAGAAAACATTACTAGTTATTAAATGATAGTGGAATAGTAGCGTTGGCATAGCTAAAGCTGTGGCAGAGTTTTCCCTTTGATAGGCGTGTTAAACCTTTATTTTTAGGAAGTAATAGTGGCCACTTACTGCTTTGAGATGATCCCTTATACCCACAGCTGCGATTTAAACTGCTGGTAGTGGTTTCATATTCTCAATTTATTGTTTTTCATGGAGCTCAATTTGCTCAACTCCAGCCCCTGTCTCTGCTCAGACTGACCCGTCATCTCTGGATAGCAACTGTCCTGTGTTGTCATGTAATGAAGAGGGGTTAGCTCATGTGAGGGATCAGACCTGTTAGAGGTTTTGTGTGGATCTGTATTCCTTGTGTCTCCATAGTTATCCTGACTCCATAATCCAGCTTTATAGGAATCATTTTACTGAAGTAACCCGTAGCATTTATGCAGCATTTGAAGAATGAGGTCTCACAGGGACATGTGACCATGTCACCTGATACTGAAATCCATTTAAATGTTCTACTTTTCCATTTTAGAAGGAGGGGTGGGGGCTAAGCACAGACAAAAGAGTCCCGCCTTGTGCCAAAGCTCTAAAAGGGAGTGGAGCAGGACAAAGGTGTCTGCCAGTCATGAGAAAACCCCTGCTTGCCACCTGAGATGTCTGCTGGATCTAACAAGGACTGTACCAGGGGAAAGGATTGGGCCCAGACTGGAAAGGCGTCTAGTCTGTGAAAGAAGCTTATTAGAACATCTTTGAGGGTGAGATATTGCTTGTAATCAGTTTCTTAATGTATTAGGCTTAGACTTGCGTGTTTTGTTTCATTTTGCTTTGTGACTTACTTTGTTCTGTCTGTTATTACTTGAAACCATTTAAATCCTACTTTTTATACTTAATAAAATCACTTTTGTTTATTAATAAACCCAATGTAAGTAGTTGTTACCTGGGGGGGAGGGAGCGGGTAAACAGCTGGGCATATCTTTCTTTCAGTGTTATAGAGGGTGGACATTTTATGAATTTACCCTGTATAAGCTTTATACAGAGTAAAACGGATTTATTTGGGGTTCAGGCTCCCAGAAAGGCTGAAGAGGGGGCACTGGGAAAGTCCTTGTTAACTGAGAAGTCCCTGGGCTGAGTGAATCTCAGTTTAAGTGAACTGAAGAAGGGCATGACCCAACCTCTGGGTCTGTGCTGGAGCTAACTGGAGTGTCTGACTCAGGAAGACAAGAATGGAGGGGTGCCTGTTCTGGCAGGAGGGTCGTTCTCAGTGGTACCCCAGTGCATCAAGTGACAGTCTCAAGGGGGGTCTCTGTGACTGAACCCGTCACACCCAGAAAGGGACACAGTATTCCCAACTGAGGCCTAATCAGTGCTGCATAGAATGGAAGAATTACTTTTCATGTCTGGCTTCCAAATTTTTTGCTAATACATCCCAGAATGATGTCGCCCTTTTCTGCATTAGTATTACACTGTGCTGCTTAGGTCTGATGTGGGACAGCTGAAATCACTGGCACCTGGGTGGAACCTTAAGAGACTGAACTGGCAGCAGAAGATGATGGTGTGGTGGAGTGGCAAAGGCATTGCTTGACATTCCTTTGCACCCCGCCCCCCCCCCCGTTGGGAGGTGATCTCATGTAAATGCACCTTGGGACTGTGGATCTTTGATGACCAAGAATAGCAGCTGTGAAATGGAGAGAGAGGGGAGTAGTGTGTGATTTGTTTGTTGGACTTTCACTTTGCAAGATGAGAAACTGAGGCGAAGTACACTATCCCAAAAGTACTCTGGGGCAGGAGTTTTCCTCATGGCCAGATGTGTTTGAATCATGATTGGGTGTTTTCCAAAATTTCCTTTTCCCCATTTTTATTAAAAGTTTTTTCTGCTAGACACAGGCTCACTGCTTGTGAGAGGGGAAGTATTGCCTCTTTGAGGCCCCCAGGAGTGATGTTTAATTTTCCCAGATCACTGGGTGGGGTCTCGAGCTGGTTCTGTGTTGTATTGTTCAGATGGACCCCTGGACATTGAACCCAGCCCTTGTTGCTTCCAACTCCACCTGACAAGAGGGTTACAGAATCATGAACTCTTATCATTTCATGATCACTGTGATGGGTTGGATCACAGAAACCCCCTTGGGAGCTGCCAACTGATGTGCCAAGACTACTTCTGCTCCTGCTTTCCCTGCCAGCTCGGGACCCCAGCACCCTGTCTTGCTGAGCCAGACATGCCTCTCTGCTCCAGCACAGACCCAGGGCCTGAATTACTTGCCGCAAAGCTGCAGACTTGACTGAAAGCAGCTAACAGAAGTGTTCTTGTCTTTAACAGTCAGATGCCCAACTCCCAATGGGGTCTAAAACCCAAATAAATCTGTTTTACCCGGTATAAAGCTTATGCAGGGTAAACTCATAAATTGTTTGCCCTTTATAACACTGATAGAGAGATATGCACAGCTGTTCCATCCCCCCCCCCCCCGATTAATACATAATCTGGGTTAATTAATAAGTAAAAAGTGATTTTATTAAATACACAAAGTAGGATTTAAATGGTTCCAAGTAGTAACAGACAGAACAAAGTATTACCAAGCAAAATAAAATAAAACATGCAAGTCTATGGCCTGGTCCACACTAACCCCCCACTTCGAACTAAGATACGCAACTTCAGCTACGTGAATAACGTAGCTGAAGTCGAAGTACCTTAGTTCAAACTTACCGCGGGTCCAGACGCGGCAGGCAGGCTCCCCCGTCAACTCTGCGTACTCCTCTCACCGAGCAGGAGTACCGGCGTCGAAGGCGAGCACTTCTGGGATCGATCCCAGAAGATCGATTGCTTACCGCCGGACCCGGAGGTAAGTATAGACGTACCCTATGTCTAATACAGTAAGAAACTGAATACAGATAAGATTCTCAACAGTTCCAGAATGCTTCCTTTTACAGACTAATCTCCTTTTAGCCTGGGTCCAGCAATCACTCACACCCCCTGCAATTACTGTCCTTCATTACAGTCTCTTTCAGGTATCCTTGGGGGTGGAGAGGCTTTCTCTTTATCCAGCTGAAGACAAAATGGAGGGTCGAGAAGATGTACGGGGCCAAAGGGGAAGTGGCCCAGGGAAGTTAGGTGGACAAGAGGGGAGAGAAGGAGCACAGGGAGAGGCTGCCACTAGAGGGTCCCTGGGTGGGGACCCAGAGTAACGGGTGGGCCTGGGTCCCCCTCTTCCCCCCTTGCACTGCACCTGGCCACAGGGGGGTGGGGCCGAGACAGACTGCAACCTGCTCCTGAAATGAGGGGCTAGACATTGGGGTTGTGGTTGGCCACTGAGGCAGGTGCAAGCTGAAAGACTGCTGTTAACCCCCGCCCCCAAAGGGGGTGAGACTGGAGTAATGGGCACTGCCGGAGAGCAGTGTCCTGAAGAGGACGCCACCAAGCAGGGAGCAACGCGGTTCCCAGGGCAGCAGAACAGACAATGGGCAAGACACTCTGCGCCGAGGGCACTCCTCAGCTGACAAGAGCTAATTCCCAGAGCAACCAGCGGG